ATGTATGTATGTGTGTATGTATGTGTGTGTGTATGTATGTATGTATGTGTGTGTGTGTGTATGTGTGCATGTGTGCATGTGTGTATGTATGTATGTATGTATGTATGTATGATTATGTTGGTAAAAATCGGTCTGGTAAGTACGGTGGTGGAATCGGTTTGTATATTGATAACGGTATTACGTATAAAACAAGAGACGACATCAATAGCATTAGCAGCATAGAATTATTCAGCATAGAAATAACAAACGATTGTTCCAATAAAAATGCAATAATTGTAATAACATATTGGCCTCCTATCTATGACGCAAATATGTATCTTCAACAAATCGAACAGGTACTACAAATCATAAGTCTAGAAAACAAATTAGTTTATCTGATCGGTGACATGAACATCAATTTACTTGATGCTGATTCAAATGCCAGCAAATTCCAACTTCAACAATTATTAACATCATACAACCTATCAACTTTAATAACAACCCCAACAAGAATAAGTTTAAATAAAATTTCAGTCATTCAACCACATTCTTTGCTGGTAAAGTGAACGTAGCGCTTGGCCAAGGTACCAGGAACCGTAGCATCCCAAGCCAAACATTTACCGGCTCTCCAGGGTGTAAGAGTACAACCGTCTGGTCGCTTGCCATCTTGCACTGAAATGCCAGATGGCTCCTTCAAAACAGGAATAGAAGCTTTAGAAAAAAGCCGGCAAATGTAATCATTCAAAGCTGAATGACGAAGTTGACGGCCTCCACCTAAACGGCAAACCAAACCATGATGACCAAATTCGTCCGCCTCCGCGCCGCAACGACACAGATATTTATTTTGTATACTTAGGCCAAGTCTGAAACCAACGGCAAATCTAACAGACTCGTCATCGAGTCTGGTGCCTACGGAAGTGTTGGGCCACGACCTCAACCAACCACAACTAACATCACTAGTTGCAGCCAATAAGCGGGCGGAGGAAGAAGCACTGACACCAGAAGACAGAAGTTCATGAAAAGTCTTCTTATATTGCTCATCTAAAGTTTGAGCTTGTGAAGGGCTTTCAGGTGTGGTCGGCAGTGGTGGGATGTCATAGCAACAACAAAATCGGCAAAGCAAGGCGGACTGGAGGTCAAGAGTGGCAGCGGCAGAAGATTTATAGACGATTGGTGCCAACTGAACCACACTGAGTAACCCCAGACCACCATACCGCACCAGCAGCTGAGCCTGGGACCAGCCACTGTCAGTCAAATGAACATTGCAAATGGCTGACAAGGCGGTACGCATAACATCATCAAATCTGCCCAACAACGATGGGTTAATGTAGCTGGATGCACGAAGAAAATACATCATTTTGGGCAAACTGAGGGCGCTTTGGACAATAGTCAGGGCGTCGTGGACGGAAAGATGAGACACTCGGTCGAGGGCGAACTTAAGTTCTGAAAACTTTTTATCAAAAAATTTAATTTGGGAGTCGCCCTCGAACAAGGGTGTGCCCAAAAAACTTAAATTTGATTTTTGAACAATGGGTACATCCGCCAACACCGGTGGCAAATGTAGTGAATCTTTAAAATAGAGTTCACATTTATTGGTGTTTAACTTTAGCTCAATGGTGTTGGCTTCGTTTTTCAAAAATTCGTAGTTTTCGGCCAATGTTTGGCTTTTTGAAGCAATGCTGATTCGTCCAGGTAGCCACAAATGAAAACGGACGACAGTTTTTACAACAAGGGATGCAGGGTTAATGCAAATAGAAGAGGTCCCAGTGGATCACCCTGTTGCACGCCCTCGGACGATTCAACCACCCAGGTGTGATAGCCAAGCGAAGAAGCGAGGCCGTAAGCAGAATGGCAGAAATTATATATTCTAGGGCAGAAACATTTGACGGCCTCCAGCATTGAATCTCTTCTCATGGCGTTGAAGGCATTTTTAAAATCGATTTTTAGAAATCCGCCATTGATTAGGGAGGTCTGTGACCAATTTTCGAAC